CCTCTTTTTAAGAAGGGGGACCGGAGGGTGTGTTCCAACTATAGGGGGATCACACTCCTCAGCCTCCCCGGGAAAGTCTATGCCAGGGTACTGGAGAGGAGAACTCGACCGATAGTTGAACCTCGGATTCAGGAGGAACAATTCGGTTTTCGTCCTGGCTGTGGAACAACTGGACCAGCTCTATACCCTCTTCAGGGTGGACCATAAACACACACACACACACACACACACACACACACACACTGTAGCTCATTTTGTCTCGAGTCAGACATACTAGTCACTAAACCACCAAATGTTATTCAGCTGCTGATTATAGACCCAAATAAATGTGCAATTTCCCCCTGATTGAGTAACATCTTAGGGAAATTATTGAGGCTAATTCAAATGTATTTGTGTCATTTGAGAATTGTACGGTAAAAAAAAAAAAAACATCTAAAATTTTAACTAAAAGTCCATTTAAGATTACTCTAATGAGACAATTAAGAAACAAAGATTCATTCATTATATATAGCTAGAGAAAGTATAAAAACTAGAACTGGGCAGAATATGAACAGCAGTGAAACAACTGCTGAACTTTGTGACCCATTGTGTAAGAACAGGCAGACTTGACAGTAAACTCTACTAAGTGGAATTAAGCCTGAAGAAAAAGAAGACAGTAAATGCTGCCATGTTTAGAGAAAGTGCTTGCAGTACCCATGTGCATGTTTTGGTCTTTGAATACACAGCCGAGGCACCAGAGTAGCAGTTTGTTAGTGCAGGTGAGTTTTGCCAAGTGTTTGAGGTTGTTCTTATCCCATAATCTTCGGTGGGTCAGGTGCTTTATTTAGCATAGCACTATTTTATTGTTTGGCTCAAAGTCTGATTCACTCACATTAATCATGAAGATCTGGATGTGGGCAGCAGAATGCACTTGTGACACATGGACAGTGCGTGTGTGTGATATGTGGTGTGAAGCAAAAACCGGGCTGTTTGTGATGGTCAGAGAGCTAGAAACAGTGAGATGACAAAACAACAAAAGCTTTGTTAAGATAAAAACACATTAAGAATGATTACATGACCATACACACATAAAAATTAGGTACTGTGTGTAAATCCTATTCTTTGTTCACTGTTTACAGATGCATGTATAGTAATATACAGTAGCGTATGTGATAAATTTCATAGGGAACAGGCAAGTTGTATTAAAAACATGTTCTTGCTAAATTTAGCATTTTTTGTCTAATATTTCGTAACTGTATATGAAATCCCCCCTTGAAATCGTAATGACTCCCCTAAAGTGGTTTGCACTGAAATCAGACCAACTCTTCACATTGAACTTCTCCTGTCACCCCAAAGAAAAGGGAGCCAATTAAAATTCACTGGGATAAACTCCAGGCCATAATCAAAGTGCAGTAAGACACTGGACTTGCTCCTTTAGAATAGATTTTTTATGCACTTTAAATGTATGTAAAATGAACTTCCAAGTGAGGCAAGGAGTACAGCATACAAACAAGGCACAGAAAAATCGGAGAGTTTTCAAGCAGAGCTACACTGTGCTTTATTAAGCCAATGCTGATGCACTGTCATCTGGCCCAGTGTGGTGAGGTGTACTCGTTTTTTATTTATTTATTATTATTTTTTTATCCCCTACAGAGTTACGGTGTTGGATAATGGAAGTCTGCGGATTTCCAATGTTAGTAAAATGGACGCTGGACTCTACACATGTGTAGCCAGAAATCAGTTTGGAGTAGCGAGCAGTGCTGGCAGCCTTTTGGTTAAAGGTAAGGTACATTTGATTTATTGCAATGGTTACGCATTTGTTTGTTTTATCCTCAGTAGTTGGTAACCAGTTGCTCTTACACTACACGGTAACAGAATGTGTTAACATATATTGAGACAATACCAACGCTGTGTGCAAAAGTATAGTTTCATCAACACCAAACGATAACAAAATATCAAAAGTGTGGGGTTTTTGACTTTCACTTTAGGAGCAGGGTAGTGCAGGGCGGTAATTTAATGGTAGTTATTTGTGTTAAGTTGTCATTTACATTTATTAAGTTACCGGACCATCGAATTGCATTTATTGTGTTCAATGTTTTATGGTCTACATTTTGTGTTAACTAATGTTATCCCGTATAGTCAAAGTGCATTAAAGGGGGGGAAGATTGTTGTGGGTGCACACGGGAAGTTGGTAGAGTGAAAAATGGCGATGGAATGAACAAACGGAGTTGAACCGAGCAGCACATGTATCATCATTGGACTTTATTAACAATTTGTTAAAACCTTCTGTGTAAACCATTTGAACATCTGGCCTTCTACAGGTTTTAGTTTCCAGCCCTGGTAATAAACTAACACATCATTTATGCTTGACAGTGTTTTTAGAGAAACACAAAGCAAATATCTGCAGTCTGCACAAGAGCTGAGAGACGCAGCTGATCAATGTTGCATTTAAAATTAATTAACTCTGACCCTCTAATACAATAAACTGTAAACACACAGTGAAGCAAAGTTGCTATGAAGACTAGCCCCTTTCCTACCTGACAGATATACAGTCCAATTAGCTGATTGGCACTGGCTGGTGGAAGCGAGACATAGCATTCAATGTTTAATTCATACTTTTTGCATGACGGCTCATAGCCATCCTCGGATTATTTAAGACTTCATTCCATTTAAATCACACACTTCTGCAGTGCAGTGAATTTTCTAGGTCTTTCTAAAGAGCAGAGTCAACAACACTGCTCTATTAAAAAACCTTTTGGCGATTTTGCTTCACACGGTTTTTGAATTGCAAATTGCCCTGCACAGAAGCACATTTTTGCTTTTTGGAGGTGTAAAGTATATATTTAAGTGTGTGCAGAACTGAAGCACAAATTCAACTGCACAAGCACATTACCTTGCAGGTTTTACATGTAGAGTAGTAAATTAATAAATTATAAGCTACTGTGAATTTAATGTAACCACCCTTATTTATTACCAGCTGCTGCTTATACTGTGGATAAAAAAATGTGGCATCTGAAAGCATGAGAAGTGAATGAATAATGAATATTTCTATTATCAATTACTGTAATCTGCAGGGGGGTTGCAATACCTGATTACATTGTACTATAGTCAGAAAAAGGCTCATCACAATTGTACAGATACTGAATTGACAATTCCTTTATTCTTTTCCATCCAACAATCTATAACATCAAAAGATTAATTTTGTAAATGCAAATGTGTAAGATATGTATAAAAAAAATCTCCAAATCCTCACATTTGGTAAGTGGAGGAAAAAGCAACTGTTTGATATTGATTAGCAAAATAGTCAGTGAGACATTGTTCAAAACCCTTTTTCCCCAAATCTGAAACTCTTCTCTGCGTTATGGAGCCTTTATATTGACTTTTAGCTTATTGCTCTTTTAGTGTTGTCTCACTGCTTGTTTACAGCCTCAGCAGGCAGCTGGTTTTAACACGAGCACTCTAAACACACACTGTATGCTACCTGCAGAGCACCAAACAGCAGACAGACACAGTAACTAGCTGGAGAACATACTGCTGTAGAGATAATAAGAGAGTGCATATTTGCCTTACATGCATCAGTTGGACAGAAACAGGTCTTCAAATGAATGATAATGTTGTTGTTTCGTAAATGCTAGATGTGGAAATAAGCAACTGTCTGCCAACAGGTTTGACTTACGGCAGGTTTAAATCAGCTTTTCGTCTATACAATAAAAACGGCTCTTTATGGTATTTAAACTGTCATTGCATATCTTTACAGAATGAGAATTGCCATGCACAGAGCAAACTGCAGTGAAAGAGGGAGCCAATTTGTGATTCTTCTTCCAGTCCATAACAAGAAATCAATGTGACAGTTTTACAGTCCGAAGCAAAAAGTTTTCCTCTTCTCATTTTGCATCTGGTGGCAAACTTTCCAAATACTCACCTGGAATGCTCTGCCATGACCACTCAGTTCTCCTTAGGGGGGGTGCAAGATAAACAAGCTGGCTTGTTTTGACAGAGCTGAGTATAGACCTTTACTCCCCCTGACATGCTGCATTGGCCTGCCTGTCCATTAGTTGCTTATGGCATGCATGCATAATTCGCAGTGGATTGGTGTATGGGCCTCTCAGCCTGTGTTACATTCCCCGCACCGCACTGTTGTTGAATGAGACACTCGGCTGAGACGGACCAAAGATTATGTTGATGTGTAACACACTAAGATTGAAATAGGATGTTTTTGGTTTTGTTTTTTTGTTACACAAACAGGGCCAAATTATAGGCTCAAATCGGACCCGTTATAATGGCTGACTTTTTCTTTTGTTTGTTTGTTTTACTTCCACTCTGTTGTTGTTGAGTGATTTATGAAACTCAAAGTGAGAAGTGCAATACAAGCTCGCTGGCAGAGTGAAAAGTAATTTATCTTGCTGGGTTAACATCTGGGACAGGATTTGATGGAGGACACACTTGTTCTGATGAATGACATGTTTTTGCAATTATTTTTCAAAGTTTAGAGAGAACATAAAGAAACAAAAGCAAGCTAGCTATATAAAACGTACAGCTGTCTATGGTGCAGGCTGTCTGGACAGTTACTGAACGACTCATCTACTCCCTGAAAGAGGAAAACCACCCTGCCCTAACTTGGTGCTCCCTTTTTCCAGAGCCAACTGTAATCACCAGTCCAGCGGGTCATCTGGACGTGACTGTAGGTGAGAGCATTGTGCTGCCCTGCCAGGTGTCTCATGACCCCACGCTGGACCTCAAGTTCACATGGTTCTTCAATGAGCAGCTCATCCACTTTGGAAGCCACGGGGCTTATTTTGAAAAAGTTGGTGGGGTAAGTGTACTTCTGTATTCTCAGTGTTTCCATATTTTCAAGGTAAAACATACAGTAGGAGGATGCACATGAAGATCACATTCATAATTGTGCCCTTCACAATTCACACACACATTTCTGATTTGAGTTGTTTAAACGACCAGTGCATTCTTCTTTATTGCACAGCTGTAGAATATATGCAATGAATTCTCTTGACAGTCTGTTTCCACTTAAACATGGTGACTCTGTTCTTGAAACTTTATCAATTTAAAAACCTTGAGAAAAAGAATAGTTTTATATTTGGCATGCATAATGTTTCTCTACATACCCACTTTTTCTTATAAATGAAAATGTGAGTCATTTAAAGTGGCTCACAGGGAAGTAAGTGTTTTGAACTAAAATCATATTTAACACATTTACATCTTATTTCTCTAAAGTTTAATTTCAGCTTCATCTTTTAAGCTATCGAATGCTTGTTCATGATGGATTCACACAGATTTAGTTTGACTTACTCTGCTTGTTAATAACTTCCTCCACTGACAAAAGCAGCAAGCAAGGAATTCATTATGCAGTGATCAGCCATGCATTAAAGTTGATCATCTAACACCAAATATGTTTCTCTTTTAATCAGGAAAAGCAATCATGAGGTCTTTGGTCGTTTGTTTGTTTTTTCATTTAGTATGTGATGTTCATGGACAACAAGAGCATTATACTTGCATGTTCCTGTAGCCCTGCTGTTCCTTTAAACACCTGACTCATGACATTGACATATTCTGGAAGAGAAACTAGTGCCATATTAATGGTAATGGTCACATTACTTTCCTGATCTATGTGAAAAGAGTCATTTGTGAGCAAAACAGCATTTTGTAGATAGTCTGCTCTAAAATGAAAAACAATCTCTTCTAACATTTTAACAAACTTGGTACTGAATTCAAGCCCATTGTAAAATCAGTGGTGACTGTTTTTTTTTTCTCTACGTGTTGTCTACCACCTTTCCTGACATTAACAACTGTTTTTGTAACCTATCACCTCCTTATTTAAACCGTCATACGTTGTCGTCTGTTTCTGTTAGACTTTAAACACAGAGTAAACAGAAGAATAACAGTTGCACCGCTGAGTGAATCATTAAAATTTTAAAGGGTGTAACACCTGGAGCACTGTGTTACATCTCGTTTGGTTCAATTCTAAATCAGAGAGCTGCGGTTGTTTTTACATTTAGTATCAAACTAATGACACAGAGTGGTAAGAGTTAAAACCCTGCAGGAGCATCGTTTATGTCTGCTGGTAGAGAGCATACTGTTTCCTGCAAGTGCTGAACAATATGAAACATGTATGCCTCCGGCCATATGTAGACCAACATCACTGTTGGCTGCAGCCCCTCTCTCTTGTGCAGCTCTAAATAGAGCCGTGCATTTAATTATTTATTTACTTATATATTTATTTTTGGCTTCGTAGTTACTGTCAGAGCTGGAATCGCAGCAGTATCAGTTTTATTGGCCAGGTGTGTCGGACACACGAGGAATTTGACTCTGGTACATGACTGTAAAAGCTGTCATTGATAAAATTACAGCACCCATGATGTCTATTAGGAATAAGGTGCTCTATATTTTTGGTATATATATATAAATATGCTTATTACTTGATGAAAAGGAGATGGTAAGGCTGAAGGATGCACTGGCAAACTCTAATGAAACAGCATTTTCAGTATGAGTTTAAAAAGTATCAAAAACCACAATATGACTGTACATCATCATAGTTACCTGATACTGCAGGAAGTATTCTGCTCAGTGTTTTTTTTCCCATATATCGGATCAATCTTTTGTGTTGCCATGTAAGATACTGATGTGATGTCCAATGGTAGGAGGTCATTATCTTTTTTCTGTCTAAAAAGCACACAACATATGATTAATCCGATTTGTAGTACTTCTTACAATAAGCATTTCAAAAGCAAGCTTGGGGGCTTTTTCCGTCTCTTTGTACAGGCCTATGACCTGTTCATTCCTTGTTATATTATCTAATAATGATGGAGTTTCAAAAAGTGAAAGACTTGAAATGACTGAATTTTTATAAAATGTCCCTGATTACACATCAAAGTTATTACTAAGTTCATCTTGTTTCATAGATAAGACGTCAACTTAATATTAGCTCTAACTTTAAAGTTCAAAGCTAATAGATGGAATAGAGTAAATGGGATCCAAGTTCATAAAAGAGATGATGCTGAAAGAAGCCTTTTAATTCCTCATAAAGAAAAGCGTTCCTAAATGATCATGGAAACCTGCAGTCAGTCACTTGCTGTGCCTCTGGACTTTTTCTGTAGCTTTTTTTGTTCTGTTGTGTAGCAAACTGAAAGCCCATATAAATCACTCTGGCATTGCACATGTTTCTGCAGTCCATTTGGTTCATTTTGTAACTTAAACATTCTGTCATTTTTTTCTTTGTTAACCTTTTTGTTGTTGCTTTTTCCTAACTTCTACACTGACAGCGCTCGGCCGGTGACATCATGATCCGTAATATTCAACTGCAGCATGCTGGGAAATATACATGTGCCGTTCAGACCAAGGTGGATAGCGTGTCTATTGCCACTGATGTGGAAGTCAGAGGTAAGGATATCCCTCACATATTAAGACATGTGAATGGTGATTTTATTTAGACTCAGTTTAGACTTAGCCATACAAATAATGTAAACAATAAAGTTTGATTAATTCCAGTACATGGTTAAAATATTGGGGTTGTTTTGGCTGCTGAACTTACAGACCTAGGGTCTGTATGAGGAGTAAAGTTTAGTTTAGTATGAACTAGTTTAATGCAGAAAATGAAGCAGACTACAGTTCGAACAGCTTTCTATATTCACCTCACCCACTTCCAGTAAGAGCCAAATATAGCTACATATGAAAAGAGAGATTTTTGTATCGTCAACATATGCAGTGTCTTTTCATTCCACGCTTTTTTAGGTGGTTATGGCATAATGACAGAGCATGTCACTGCAGCTGAAATTCACCTTCAAAATTAACTATACATGAGAGCTACATCAGCTGCGGTGATACCAGAGAAAGGCTCATTTATCTTCTGTGCTGCTTTACCCTGTACTCCACTGCTGTAGGGCCTGTTATGTTTTTTTTTTTATTATTTCCTCATGTATAGTACAACTGTTACACTTAAAAATGAAATGAGATAACATTTGTTAGAACAAATTAATCAGCAGATTTTGTCCCACACTGCATTGTTTGTAACATCTGGTTGTAGTTCAGTATCACACTTTAGCTTCAGAAAGTGTTGGCTGCTGTTCTCCTAATTCTCTGTTACATTAGCTTTAAGCACGGTGTCTTGGTTCTGCTGCCTCATGTCTTCGTTAAACAACAGTATATCATCCTGTATGAGTGAATTGTGATGGATTGTCGTTCCAGGTCCCCCGGGGCCCCCTGTGGATTGTCAGGTGACTGAGGTGACAGAGACCACTGTCTCTCTATCCTGGGGACCCGGGATAGACAATCACAGCCCCATCCTGAGCTACGCTATCCAGGCCAGGACACCCTTCTCTCTTGGGTGGCAAGCTGTTACCACTGGTAGGCGGGTTTCATCTGACAGTCTGTGTATAGGTTGTGTGTGAATGTGAAGTTTACTGAGTAGTTAAAGAGTGAGAGGGGTGTGACTGGTATCCCTTTCAAACCCCACAGATAAAATGACACATCCCCAGTTTGGCTTACTTTCAGCAGCAAGGATTTGATGAAAGGTTCTTCCTGTGATGTCTCTCAGTTCCTGAGTTGCTTGGGGGGAAGCAGCTGTCAGCTACTGTCACTGACTTGAGTCCCTGGGTGGAGTACGAGTTCAGAGTCCTGGCAACCAACAGCATAGGAACAGGAGAGCCGAGCAAACCCTCCAAAAAGGCACGCACCAAAGAAATGCGTATGTATCAGAGGCTGCTTAAATTTTCTCTACTGCCAACAGTGGCACAAACTGTTTGCAGATTTTGCACATTATGTGCAGAGAGACTGTATTTCACAATGACAGTTAGATCCCTTCAGAGAACTTTAATGTACTGATACATTACAGAAAATTTTCCCATTCCTCCAGGCACACGGCACATGAATGAATCAAATTCACAACAAATGCAGCTTCAGTCTTAGGTGTATACAGTATGTGTGGAGACAAAAAACAATTACAGTTAAATCTCCCACCCCAAACTGTATACACAGTACATGTAAGCACATGCAACTACGTAAACCTTATGCTTGCATTAGGGCCATTGGCATGAATTTAAGTCTAAAACTTTAGAATTTTGAGCACATTTAATATAAGCAAGTTGAACTTTCTCCATGTATTGATGAACAATTAAATACTGAAGTAATTGTTCTTTTCAATAGCAAATATTCGAGTATACAAACTGGTTACATGCCTTTAACACTGTGGTGTTAGTTCCCAGGGTGACTCCAGCCAGAGTGAATGGTGGTGGTGGAGGGCGTTCAGAGCTGGTCATCACCTGGGAGGTAAACATACATTTACATTCATTAAATCATTTTGTGTGTGTGTGTGTGTTTTGTAGCTTATTTACTGTAAGTGAGTGGATAGGAATGTGCTTTTGTGTGCTTTTTTTGTTTTAAAAAAAACTCCACTGTTTGTACCACCTTAGTTTTAACAGTGACTTGTGTCTCTGTTTGGTCATTCAGTTCTTAATATGAAACTGAAACAGAACTGGAAGAATAATTCTTGAAACCTATTTTCACCCATGAACTCTGAACTATGTTCGCAGAATCAGGCCTGGGCTTTGCGGAGAGTTCCTTTTGCACACATGTAGTACACAGCAGGAGGTAGCAGGTGTCAGATGTTCTCACCCACTGGAAATACTCCCTTTGGTTTATGCATGGGGGGTACGCCTGAGTAGAGCACGCAGGAGGCAGGACATGATGCGGTCACATAGCCAGTTTGTAATTTTGTCATAAACAACCGAATCTCTCTTGCCCTGTCTTAAATTTGTCAGACTATTCTGGTGCTGGTTCTTAAAGACAGAAGCTCCCATATCTTTTTGTCACCATCTTCATTGTAAATGACCATTTTTCTTCACCATTGAATGTTTGTATTCTTCCTGTTTCATGCCAGTCACATGATAGAATGTTATCAGCACACCCGCTAGCCCATATGAATACTCCGGACTATGCGCTGCTGTAATCTCACATGGGCCCGCTCCAGCTCACTCAGACTGTACACGGACTTTGTACTAGAGAGCTGGCAGAATTAAGTCCAGGTCAACTGACTCGGGCATTTGTGTTCTCACATACTGCTCCCCAAGGTAATGTCTAGATAATTTCAGGGTTACAGTTCATATCTGAAAGGGGCTTGACTCTGCTGGGTATTTCTGATTTATTTTTTCCAAGTATAAAACCAACAAGACAGAAGAAGTTCATGTAAGACTTTACAAGTTCAGTACCACCCTCAGCACTGTTCTGTACAAAGTGCCCTTACGTGTGAATAGTAGTATCTGTTTTGGCTATTAATAGATTTAAGATGAGTCATCTTAAGTCATCCCATGATCCCATGGAGTCATCTTATACTTTCTCAGCCTGTTCCTGAGGAGCTGCAGAGTGGACCGGGCTTTGGCTATGTGGTGGCTTTCCGCCCGCTTGGGGCACAGGGGTGGATGCAGGCTGCTGTCACATCTCCAGATGCCTCCAGATATGTCTTCAAGAATGAGAGTATCCCTCCCTTCTCCCCATACGAAGTCAAAGTCAGGGTTTATAACAACAAGGGAGAAGGCCCTTTTAGTTCAGTGACCACCATCTACTCGGCAGAGGAAGGTGAGTGTGATGTAACATGTCTTAATTCCACTCTGGAAATGTACATTATGTTGTGCAACAATGCAGAATCAAATTAGTCTTACTCTTATCAGTTCTTATTTTAATTGCAGTTTTCACAACTGTCATTTTAAAGACCCACTACTGATGGAACAAATGTTCTGTGTAGCATATTTCATAATTCTTTCAGTATCAGTTTCTTACTAGGACTGATGTGGTCAAACATGGAAGTAAACTTTCTGGCAAAGTTAGAACAGTTTTGGGTTTTTCCACATGGAAGATTTCTAAAGTTTTCATCTGTGCTCGTCTTACTGGGTTTGAAGTGGGTGGGTCACTGCTGGGAAAACAACTGGGATTCAGTGATATTTGAGTCAACAGTTGGTGAGTGGTCTGCTTATGTTGAGAGACTAATTAAATCATCTCCACAGTCCTGATCAACTAGATCAGCTGAGTTTATGACTACTAAACTCCTAATAAATTATATCTTAACTTGTTGTCATGAATATTCAATGTTGTTAAGGACTGCTTTAGATTTGAACACAATGTGTTCAGTGGATAGACTAATGCTTTTCAGGGACAACAGAATAAAGTTTTGTTCATCAAGAAAAGCTAGCCACAGAAACTGAACAGTAAATACTTTTAAATGTTTAGATGTCCATTTCCATCACAGGTTCTTTAACAATAAACATATAGTCCTCAGTGTATTTATATTGAACGTGCTACAGACACCACTACTGGAGATGGTGGTTTATGCAGAACCATCAATTAAAGTTAACGTATCTCAGTTTTGTGGTGCACATTGCAGTGAAAAACATTTTCTCTAACACTTCACACTGGAGCACTACTGTCGATAAAGCTGCAGTACATTCAATAAGTCGTGTTGAAGAC